CGGCTGCCACGGGCGGTACCAGGTGTGTTTGCGAGGGTGGGTGACGGGTGAATGTGAGGGAAGGGACAAACGCTGCGCTTGAGCTTCCCAGGGCGACAGGCACCCTGCGGGCTGTAGCGTGGCTCAGCGTGGAGAACGGGAGGCGCGGCCTGTGCTGCTGCATGAAGCCGCGCGACGTGTTTTGTAACGGGTCCGGAGGGACACGCTTCCAAAAAACCAAATAAAACCTGTGTGTTCCAACCTCTTTGTCCTGGAGATCAGAGTCTTCCAGACCCACGGGCCCACGGCTGCAGGAGGATAAGCACCCTAAGGAAGCGCTCCAGGTATTTCCAGGAAGGAAAGTGAAGTTTAAAAACCCTGAAGAGACCTGGAACGGATCAAAATGAGCGACTCGGGGGTGACAAGCGACTCTCCATGGCACCGTCTGAACCCCGAGGTCTCAAATCAAGGGCCGGAGGGGAGGGCAGAGACCAGCGCCCCGGTAAGCCTGACCCGCAGCGCCAGGGCTGCACACGAGGGTCCTGGAGCCCCAGCCACGAGGTTTCCTGAAGAGAATGAAAACCACGGGAACAGGCAAAGCCCAGGGGATTTTGGCACAGGGAGCGGCTGAGAAACACCAGCCAGCGGGGAACAGCGAGTACAAATCTTTATTAAAAAGGAGACCCTATAAAATCAAAGAGGAAAGCCAAGGCCTTTCTCCACTCGCCTCCTCCCTCCGCGCTTCTGTTGCTTCGCGTTACCTCCACGGCTCGAGCCCTTGATGAAGGCGAAGGAGCTGCAGCAAAGTCCGTGCTGGAAAGCAAGGAATTGGGCCAAGGAACACAACTGCAGAGGCGACACGGAACTTTCTTGGCCACCTACGAAAAGGCAGACACCTCAGAGCGTCTGTAAACTGCCGGTGGATGGGAAGAGCCGGGGGTGTCCCAGGATCCTTCCACCCCTGGAAGAAAAAAGAACCCGGGACGTGACTCTCATGCCCCCCTCAGCAGGCGGCTCCCGAGGCCGAGCCCGAACGCCCTGAACGGTGGCTGCTGGGCCACGGGACCAGGTAGCCCCACCCCACCCCGTCCTCTCTCCAGCAGCTCCCTCCACCCCCAACGTACAGTCCTGAGGTCGGTTTTCCCGCAGGCAGCTCACGCCAAGCCCGTCCCCACGAGCCCCAGCCCAAGGCAGAGGGTTTCGGACTCCCTTACCCGCCCGCTCCCGGTCACTGCACCAGTCTGTAGGTGATGTAGCGCCCCGCAGTCTCGCTCGGTCTTATGATCTTCACGACCTGGCAGGCGGCAGAAGGAACTCACCAGGGAGAAGCCGGCGGCGATTTCCTCCCCCCAGGGCTTCCCCACCCGACACAGCGCG